GCGAAATATAAGTTCCTCATCCGTTTGGCTCACTTTTTGTAGATTTGAGGGCAAATTTTTGCCGCATGGGTCAGAAATCCACGTGACGGATTCTGCAGCGATGTGGATTTCCTGCGATGAGTGCAAAGTCGTACGCGAAAATAAGCCTTTGCAGTATCTCACAGCCGGTACAAAACTGTATTTCAATTTTCCGTTTCCAAATGTGCTGCTAACTACCTTCAACGAGCAAACACTGCCTTGCATATCTTTATAAGCTTGTAAAAAAAAGATGAACTTTTTTCTGATCAGGTAGCAGCTTTTTCGATGATTCACAAAAAGCTGGTTCGATTTGCTGATCTGAGACAGCCCGCAGTAAGACATTTTGTTCAACCGAATCGAAAATTTTCTTAAAGTCGGCAAAAGGCAAGCACAAAGGAATCGCTCACTCTCTGCATTTTGCCGCGAACTGCGACACTGTGAAAACTGATAATTCTTTGAATAACTGAAAGCCAAATCTACATAATACATTTACCAGGATGTCAGGTTCAGCGGCAGACGTAGACGCCTGAATTACGCCGCCGCACTCATCATCAGTATCCGAGTCCTCGTTCCGTTCGACTTTGTGGGGAAGCGGCGGAGATATTTTCTGTGTCAGTGTGGCAAATACGGTTGCCAACTTCACTTTATCGTCATCAATCATTTTCTCTATAAAAATCATGAGATTAAGAAATAAAATCAGTAAATATGAAAAGTTATCAGAAAGAATAAGTGGCCAACCCACCGACCACCGGTGCGAAGATGCGTCTTTTGTATAGTTCCCCGCAAGTTTTTTTCGCTAACAGCACTGTTTTTTCTGGCAGATCTTCTAGCTAAACGGCCAAAAGGATTGTTTGAAAACATCCCCTCAAATTTTCATTTTCCTAGCTTATCTAGTTCAGGAGTTAGCAACTTACCCACAAAAAACTTTTACGAGCCATACGTGGGAAACACGCATACCTGTGGGATGGTTTTGAACTCATTAAGACTTACGTGGACGGGGAACAACCTCTTAAAATTCCAGTCCTCTAGCATTCCAGGTTTCCGAATCAGCAACTTAACCGCGAAAAACTTTGACGGGCTCGTGAGTGGGAACCACGTGGGTAAGAGCGCCTAATTTGGAGATGTGGCTCGCACGTACATATAGATTAACTTCCCAAAGTTTCAGCCCTGTAGCTTTTTTGGGTCTGGAGACGAAAACCGGCACAGAAGAACACAGACACATACACACAGCCAACCCTTCAATAATATGCGTTTTGCACTGCACAGATGCAAAAAACACGTAACAGTATGAAATTAACTATTCTGCCGGCGTTCTTTTGCAACAGAGATGACCGACAGGCTGAGATGTAGCAGGCGCTGTAAAAAGTCGTTATCTGAACCGTAAAAATCCGACTCGGATATGGACCAAGCAATCCTACACGGTTCAATTTACTGGTCAAACAGACTCCCTTACAGAGTTGACCCTCTGC